CCAACACCACCACCAGCGCCACCACCTCTGCCACCTCCAAGTGAGTGAACTTCACCCCTCTTTTGATTCAAATCTTTTTTCGGATGTAAAAAATGTCAGATTGCAACTCATTTTCAATCAAACATATTGTATGCAACATTGTTTAACTGTTTCCATTTTGGTAACTTGTAAATGATGTTAATTTTGATTCACAGATTACTTACTTTATGCTATTAGAGTTTGCTTTAATTACCAATGATTATAAGGGTTTTATCTAATGATAATCATTTGCATTTGGATTCCACTCTTTTTCTGTTATCCAGGGAATTACATAAGCAACGGGTTTCTTAAAGTTTCATGTAACGGGGGCTTAAATCAAATGAGAGCTGCGGTTTGTGCTTCTTCTTTTCCTCTTTCATGTCTATCTTATTCTTAAACACCACTTATTTATTTTTAAAACTAGCTTATCAATTTCAGATATGTGACATGGTGACAGTTGCACGTCTTTTAAATCTCACTCTGGTTGTTCCAGAGCTTGATAAGACATCTTTCTGGGCTGATCCTAGGTAATTCAAGGGGCATTTTAGTAAATTTGATGTTTTTGGAAGTTATGACTTATGCGTTATGATGTTTGATTGATTCAGTGATTTTGAGGACATTTTTGATGTGGGCCATTTCATTGAATCACTAAGAGATGAAGTCCGGATTGTTAAAAGATTGCCAAAGAGGTTTAGCAGGAAATACGGATTCCAACCATTAGAAATGCCACCTGTCAGTTGGTCAAGTGAAAAATATTACCTTGAACAGGTTGGTATATTTATTAAAAAGGTCAAATGCAAGATATAAGATATTGGTGAATAATAATATAATATCATATTTCCTTGAAAAAATTACAGATTCTACCACTTTTTAGCAAGCATAAAGTCATACACTTCAATCGAACAGATACACGATTAGCAAACAATGGACTTCCTCAAGATCTTCAAAAACTCAGATGTCGAGTCAATTTCCATGCCCTAAAGTTCACACCTTCAATCGAGGCTCTTGGGAATAAATTAGTGCAAATTCTTCAAGAACAAGGACCATTTATGGCATTGCATTTAAGATATGAAATGGACATGTTGGCCTTTTCAGGTTGCACGCATGGTTGCACCATTGAAGAAGCTGAAGAACTCAAACGGCTTAGGTAATGGAATCATGGAAACAATGGAATGGAATTAACCACTCCATTAGATATTGTATATGCATAATAATATAAAGAATTCATATTCATATGAAAATATATATATATATATATATATATATATATATATATATATATATATATGTCAAGTGTCAACCAAATGTTATCAAAGAATGTAATGACTCATTCCATTCCATTGCTTATTCCATTCCATTCAAGCAAATGGTTAGATTTTGAATGTGATTTATGTTTTTAGGTATGCGTTTCCATGGTGGAGAGAGAAGGAGATAGTGTCTGAAGAGAGGAGATCACAAGGTCTTTGTCCTCTTACACCTGAAGAGGCAACTTTGATTCTACAAGCACTTGGTTTTGAGCAAAACACACAAATATACATTGCATCTGGTGAAATTTATGGAAGTGAAAAAAGACTTGAAATGCTAAGGGCTACATTTCCACGGATTGTAAGTTTCTTGAAGGAAAATTTGTAAAAAGTGATCTCTGAGCCTATATATATTGTAACAATTTGATTTTAGTTATTTGGAAATTGGAACTAAATCTTCCATTACATATTTAGGTCAAAAAAGAAACTTTATTAGATAGAGAAGAGTTGAGGCAATTCCAAAATCATTCATCTCAAATGGCAGCTCTTGATTTCATGGTGTCAGTTGCTAGTAATATCTACGTTCCATCTTATGATGGAAACATGGCAAAGCTTGTTGAAGGTCATAGAAGGTAATTAATAAGTCAACTCTTTTCAACATTTCATTCCAGCTATATATACATAATGTAATCATGTGATGTAATGTAGGTACTTTGGATTCAAGAAAACTGTGAGATTAAACAGAAGAAGACTTGTGGAATTGATAGATTTACATCAAAATGGGACAATATCATGGAATGAGTTTTCAAATGCTGTGAAATCATCACATGAGGAAAGAATGGGACAACCAAATCATCGTGTGATGATTGCAGAAAAACCAAAAGAAGAAGACTATTTTTATGCTAATCCTGAAGAGTGCTTCTGTGAGATGACAAATTCTAGTCTTGAATTGAAGAAGCCATGATTGATTTAATGTCAAAAATGGGATTTGAGTTGAGTGCATAGATGCCACTTTGAATCGATGGAAATGGGAATTGTTCTTGAGAAAGATGTTTTTGAAATGAAATTTGTGGGAAATGAGAGAAAACAAGAAATGAAAGAGTTGTTTGTTGATAGATAACAAGAGGGAAAAAAAGGAAGCACCACGTAAGTCGTCTTTCTGGGCATAAAGATTTGTTCTTTCATATTGTGCTTATTATTTCTTTTTCCTTTTTTCTTTTTGTTCAAAATTTCTCGACTTTGGTATCTTATACGGTATTCATAGTTATAAGAATGTTCATTTGCTTCGATAATTCTACAAGATTCACAAGATTGAATTTTTTTTTCTTTCAAGTTTTTTAGTAAGTTGATTCTAGTTTTGGTTGATTTTTGTATCTTGCTTATAGGACATGTAATCAAAAAAAGCGTAACATGCTTCTAACGATGTTGCTTGGGCCGTGGTTTAGGTGGGCCTCCGGTCCATCTTGAAGGTCTTGGTTCAACTTGCTGTTACGGTTTCCATCATGATTTGTATTTTATATTTTACAAGATAAAAAAAGTACATCCAAAACATAAAATACACTCCCAAAACTAGTTACAAAAACTTTGCTAAAATCATTAAACCAAAACATAAAACGTAATGAAAAAAAGCAACATAAACAACCAAGAACACATTCAACACAAAAAATCTAATTTTCGGCCTAGCTAGAACAGAACATTTAATCCTATTGAAAAATGACTTTAATCATAACATTGTTTTTACATGCATATGTAAAAATAATTATGTTAATACTCTGCTAAAAGTAAAAACATTAAAAATCATCAAAAACGTTATAAAACACATTTAGTCTATTACTTTTAATTTTTTTTTTTCTTTTTTTGGACTATTTTCATGTACACAAATAACACATAAGAACAATCAAAAACCAAATAGTATAATGATCTAACGTTCTGAAAGTGGATCAAGTAATCAAAAACCATATAATTGTTGGGGATTTATGAATATATATTATAGATACAAATAACAACAAAAGAAAAAAAATATCTTAAAATTTTAATCTACGGGAATCCATGGTCCGGTTAGAAAATATAGATCAAGTAATCACAACCATATGATGTTTAGAATGCTACCTCAATGTTTGGAGACTAGTTATCTAGAGTTGATAATTACTAACGTTGATCCACATAAAACAGTAATAAACATCTGCTAGACTCCTAATGGATAAACACTAACTTCATTCTTCCTTTCCTCGCCTCGAGATCAACATAAAGAGAGGAGAGACAAAGAGTAGGTAGCCCCTAACAGCCTGTGGGAGGGCTATCAAGGTTTTCTTTATTTCTGTGTGATTAATAGCATAATGAACACTAAAAGCCTTATTTTATTATTGTTTGATGGGCTTTCTTAATGTCTTCCTTACGAATTATTAAAAAGCTTACAAACGTGTTAGACTTTAAGGATATAGAATAACAAAACTTGAATAATCTCTTGAATCGTGTTTTCGTAATCACTATCTGAAATCTATAACTCTACACTTATTCATGGGGTTACACGGATGCAGGAATAATTCAAGAGATCAAATCAGATTTCAAGTTCAATCTGATTTACAAACACATAATACATTTACAAAGTAATTGATTTTCAAGTATAAATGTTGTAACCTTTGCATGGAACATCCATTTTCCTTATATACAAGGAAGATGACGGTTAGAAGGTAGTTACCATTCATATTGGCACCAAAATGGTGGCTATAGGACAAAACCAACTTTTACCACCGTTAAGAGCTCTGCCTATTGGACCTCACAAGGGGCGCTTCCCTTTGGACCTCGCAAGGGGCGTTACCCCTAAACCCTACTAAGGGCGTTGCCCCCGGACCTCTGTATTCCAAAGTTTACATTTATCATTTAGAGTGTACACCCCACACATCCGGTCTTGGTGAGTAAATAGAGTTCAACATGTCCCGATATTAATAATAACTACATTAATATATGTTGATAACACTAAAATCACCAACAAAATACCATTCTAACTAATTCTAAATTAATAAGGCTTTTATTAATCAAATTATCATTATTTAATTAACAATAAAAAAACATTTGTTTACATATAAACCACACTTGATTAATAAATAACAAATACTATTTGTTTTTATTTGCTAAGGTTTGTAAATTATAAAATTATATTCTATATAAATATTATTATTTATTTATTTCCATTTATACTCTTTAGTGTGCCATATGCATTAACTACAACATGAGTATAGTATATTACACTACACTAATATATGTTAATACTATCTATGTAATTAACATTTAGGGAAATCTCCGGAAAAGTTCTAAAGTTTTGGGTCAGTGGTCTAGTCCCAAATTAATTTTTATTTGCGAAAAAAGACAAAATACCGGATAATGTATTCAAAAAAAGACAAAATACTGGATAGTTCATTCAAATCGACCCATTTTCACCGGTACAACTATTTTACCCGGTCACCTTGCTTAGGTAGCCTCATTTATATGACCTGGAACTCGATCTTCGTTATTCACTTGTTCCCATTTATTTCTAACCTTAGACAAAACGAAAAAGGGTTAAAAAAAAACCTTCTGGATTCAAGCAGTCAATCGTTTGAAGGAAGTGAAGTTACTGGCGCCAAAGTAGCAAACGACAATCTTCAAACGATAAGAAATTGCAAACACGTACACGTAATCTTTCATTTTATTGCATCCTGTGCTTGATTAATTTAAGTTAATTTTTGTTTATCGGTGATAATGGAGACCGTCGAAGACTTCGAAACGATAGACGTGGAACTTGATGAGCTATTCATAAAGAAACAAACGCCTAGATTCAAAGACGAGTTCTTGAACACTTTCTGTGAAGAAGGCCTAGAAGATTGTTCCATCCCCGACGTTCAAATCGATGAAAGCGATGGAGATGAATCCCTTGATTTGGACCATGAAGATGAGACAGATGATAAAGAAGGTGCTTCGCAAAAAGGGTTAATTGAAAAAGAGGATGAAGACGACGTTGATTTCCAATACAGTATACATGATCAAAAGGTGAAATGGAACAAAATTAGGCCAGTTTTCGGAGAGAGGTATAAATCACCACAACAACTTAAACTCTGTTTAACCAACTACTCCATAAAACAGGTTTATCGGATTAGGTTCGAAAAATGTGATAGTGTTAGGCTTGTAGTTGTGTGTACAAATGAGTAAGTAAAAGTTCAATGTCCTTTTCTGGTTAGGGCTTCCTAGATGAGCATTGAAAGATCATTTCAAATTAAGAAATTTGTTGATAAGCATAAGTGTGTTAGGACTTTTAATAATGTAAAACTTATGGATCCAACATGGATAGCTAGACAATTTCTGAAAGAGTTGATTAGGAAACCAAATTTGAAGTGTAAGAAAATGCAGGTCATTATCCAAAGCATTTTTCATTGCAAAATTTCTACATGTTCTTCCACAAAATCTTCAAATCCATCATGGTTGAATCCATTTCCATGGTGGTAAAAATCGAACAACATATCTTTGTACCACTAGTTTGGTAATGGAGGGTCTACCCAAACAAAGTATTTGCAATCCATTTCAGGGTCCTGCATTACACAAAATGAGTCCAATTTCAACAGAAATGAGGTAGAAATCGTGAAAGAAAGAAAAATACAAACCCTGAAATTTGGGAATCCAATAAACCTTCATCCAGGATTTTTATCACTCAATGAAGTCCATTTGCTAACGGATCTTCACAGAAGCATTCTGACCTTAAGCCTCTCATCACTGATCGATTTCCTTGCCTGCTTCCAACAGAAGACGAAGACGCCATTCTTCTTTCACGAGAAGTTCTAGGGCTTGAAGGAGCATAACATGTAGGGATGTCAAAAACCCCCGCGGGACCCCGTTCCCGTGGGACCCCGATACCGTACGGGACTAGTTTTTAAAAAAATTCGGGAGCGGGAGCGGGGGCGGGGGCGATATTAACTCCCGGTTATTTTCGGGACCGGGGGCGGGAGTGAGTATTTCTGTCCCGTACTCCCGCGGGGGCCCCGTTTATATTTATATAAAAAATATATATATGTTTATAACTTTAGTGATGTTTTATGTTTGATCAATTCTTGATTTATCAAGGGCTTACATGTTTGTTTATATATAAAAGTTATTAAAAATAGTATTTTTAGCCTAAAACAAAGCAATTTTTTAGCAAAAAGAATCCATTTTTAAGCCTATAAACCGGGAGTACCGGGGGAACGGGGGCGGGACCGGGGGCGATGGAGGTAACCGGGGGCGGGACCGGGGGCTATGTAAGCGGGGGATCCGGGGGCGGGACCGGGAGCGGGGGCAACAAGGGATTTCGGGAGCGGGGGCGGGGGCAACCATTTCCGCTCCCGTTTGGTCCCGTTGACATCCCTAATAACATGTGCTTAAATACAACATATTCAGCCACATAAGCAAATTATTTAATGACATGGCATCCACCTAAGCAAGGTGACCGGCGAAAATAGTTGTACCGGTGAAAATGGGTCGATTCGAATTAATTATATGGTATTTTGTTTTTTTCTTAAAGAGAAAATCTCCAGTAAAGTCTTAATATTTTGGGTCAGTTTATGGTTTAGTCCCAAATTAAATTTTGTTTACAAAAAAGACAGAAAACCGGCTAAAACTTCAGAATAACCCTTCGTGGCCGGTTTCACAGATTTAGCCGGTATCTCGTCTTTTTCATTAATTGATCCAAATTTTGGGGCTTTTTCATTAATTGATCAAAATTTTAGGGTTTTTTCATTCTCTTTTACCAATAACTAGAATATTTTGACTTTTCTGAATATTCCCCTTTAAACTAATATATATTATATGATCTAAGTTAATATGTACCATTCCACGTCTTCTTTCTTGCGTTCTTTTTAGGCTGACCGTGTATTTTCGTCATCATCGTCGAACCCAACAACAAAAAGTTTACATACAAGTATCGTTAACTCCATTGATTTTCCAATTTCATCCATTTACAAATTTGTGATCATCTTTAAATCTCTAAACTTAGATTCCTTGTCATGAAAAAGGTGAGGACGGTATTTTGACTAGTTCTTGGAATGAGATGTGGTTTGGTTTTTTTTGGAAACGACAAATAAATTATAAACTGCTCACCATGACTAGTAAGGAGCTAAAAACATGGAAGGGACAAATGGTACAATTGCAAGTCTAGAAAAGAAATGGGTGGACAACACCAATAAACCCAATTACTATGGCCAATGCCATTAGTTTATGGGTTAAAATCATGGTTCGGGTCATGGTTAGGTAATAGGAGCATCCGAGTGTTGGAACCATGGTTCAAGTCATGGTTAGGTAATAGGGACATCTACGTGATCAACAATGATTATTTTCTCCTTTCTTCATTTGGAGATTGGAAGATGATCACAGAGTTGTGAATGGATGATTGTGGAAAATCGATGGAAACGATGCTTGTGTGTGAGATTTTTGTTGTAGTTACCAGGATTATGAAACTAGACTAAGGCTTAGTACTTTATGTGTATAGGTCTTTTCGAAGCACAAAGTGAAGCGCTTCCGAAATCGTTAGTCACTTTTATCAAGTAAGTGCATAGTTACTTTCATCTTACACATAGATATGAAGTATTTAGATAATTAAATGCTATATGTGCTTATGTGCAAAAATGATTATGTGTTAAATGAAATAATAAAAGATGATTTTTATATGATTTACTATATATGTATTTTCATATCTATAATATAGTTGGGTAGTGAAGGGTTGTGCGGAATAAAAAATGGGAGGTTGTGATAAGGATGTGTGAGATAATGGTTATGATAGGTTAGTGAAAGTCGTATGAAATAATAAGTTGTGTCTGCCGTGTCTATCCTAAGTAGTTTTGTACTGGTGTGTTTATCCCAAGTACTTTTGTACTTCCTTGCTTAACCAAAGTACTATTATACTGTCGTGCGTGCCATGACTATCCAAAGTACTAATGTACTGGCGTGTTGCCGTGTTTACCCAAAGTATTATCATATTGACGTGCCTAATCATCTAAGAGTTTTAGTTGTCTGCTGATAAAGATCATTTAAGAAGGATCCCTCGAGATCATCACGTTAGGATTAGTAAGTGAGAATAACGGGAGTGGGGTAATTAGGTTATTTGAATGTTGAAGAATATATAATTAAAGATTATAATAATGTGGATTGAAAACCCTATGTATCTCACTAGGTTTCCAACCTGACCCACTCAGTTTATTTCAATTACATGTTATTATATAATGATACTCAGATAATGATGTATGAGAGATTCAAGGAGATGTAAACCGTTAGTAGATTTAGACATTGTAAGTCTCCGTTTATGCGTATGTTTCTGTATTGACGACGACATCCCAAGTTTTAAAAAGAAAACAAATTTCTTCGAAAATGCTTTGATTATATTATTATCATGTTTTTGGGACAAATTTCGCATAATTAATCTTTTTAAAAGAGCACTCTAATTTAATAAGCATAAACAAATCGGTCTTTGCTGTCTGTAAAAATGAGGATGTCACACACACTGTGAGCCTAGAAGGAGCGCAAGAAAGAAGATAGAGAATGGTACATATTAACTTAAATCATATAATATACATTAGTTTAAAGGTAATCTTCAGAAAAGTCCAAATATTTTGGTTATTGGTAAACAATAATGAAAAACCCCCAAATTTTTGATCAATTAATAAAAAAAGGCCCAAATTTTGGATCAGTTAACTAAAAAAGACGAGATACCGGCCACGAAGGGTTATTCTGAAGTTTTAGCCGATAATCTGTTCTTTTTTATAAACAAAATTTAATTTGAGACTAAACCGTAAATTGGCTCAAAATATTAGGACTTTATTGGAGATTTCCCTTTCTTAAATAAAAATTAATTTGGGACTAAACCATAAACTGGCTCAAAACTTTGGGTCTTTTCCGAAGATTTCTCTAACATTTGATTGTGTTTGGGTAAATTACACAAATGGTCCCTATGGTATGGGGTAATTTGCATTGTTGGTCCCTAACTAGCTTTTTTAACTTGAACAGTCCTTAAATTTTGATTTTGTTACGTCTTTGGTCCCTGATCAAGTTAAAATGTCTATTTTACCCTAAATGTTTTTTTTATTTCTTTTATAATTATATTTCAGTTTATTATATATATTAAATCATTAAATAAAATATATCTCCCCCCCCCCCCCACCCCCATTTCTTTCCTTCCTTCCCCGTTAAAAAATCCGGACAACCACATGTGACATCCCCTAATTTCTAGGCCAGAAAAGACCGATTTAATTTATGCTTTTTAAAATAAAATCAGAGTAATCATTTTAAAAGATGTTGCGGAATTTGTTCCCATAAAAACATGATAATTATCTTATCAAATCATTTCCGAAGAAATGTATTTTATTCACTTAAACCATTGGGATGTCATCGTCAATATAGAAACATAAGCATAAACAGAACTTACATTCACTTACACTAGTGATCTACATCTCTTTTAATCTCTCAATGTAAAGTAACTTCGTATCGATACCTGTGATACAAACAAACTGAGTGGGTCAGGTTTGGGAGCCTGGTGAGCATATAGGGTTTTCAACCCACAATACATAAATTTATTATGCTTAAATGTCAAACAATCAACCCAATTACCCAATCCCATTAACTTCTTTATTTCATAAGTAGTTACCCTAAGAATCATCTATCACTCATTCCTAAGGAATTTTCCTAAGGAATAGGCATGAAGTCCATCGCTGCCCAAGGTTTATACTACTAGCACTAACAAACGTCGATCCCCACATACTGATCTTATACAGTGATCTTACTAGATCTAGCCTAAAGGATCGATATGAACAACCAACTGACGAAACTGCTTCAGAAATTCCCTAGCAGCAAACGAGGATCGAAAAAGACATCAAATGAGATGAATGGAATAAGTTTCACCACGAACCTTCGTTCGTAAAAGAAAGAACCACAAGACAATTAAGTCAGAGGTAGTTATCAATGTCTAGCTGTGGTCCGAATATCGTGAGGTAATTTACCCCCAGACTCACCCTATCCAGCATCGAACTTTGCCTAGCAGTGATCTGAATATCGTGAGGTATGTGTAACCCCCAGACTCACCCTATCCAACATCGAACTTTGCCTAGCAGTGATCTGAATATCGTGAGGTATTTTACCCCCAGACTCACCCTATCCGGCATCGTGAACGGAAACGCTGACTCATGAAGCTCGTC